TGCTTAATTAGATCGAGCGCTATTGTGTTCCATCTCTCTCTCATTTTTTGGGGGGGCGGGGTCTTTCTCTCTCTCTCTCTTTTTATTTTTTCCTTGCTGTATATACAAAGAGACCGCGAAAGAGATCCCCCCTCCTGCCCCAGAAGGCCTTAGAGCCCTCTCATCCCCTGCAGTGGGATTCAAGGGGATTGGGTTGGCTCAAGGGCCCAAGTACGGACGATGATACCACAGGAGACCACATGAGGTCGCAGGAGGAGATTGAAGATAAGGATGATAATGATCAGAAGAAGGAGCAGCAGGAGGAGAAGGGAAGAGGCGAATACACTGATGAGGTCACGGGGCGCCTTCATTCCACGATGGTTTATCGTATGTGCTGACGTCCATCGACCAAACTTACGAGTGACCCGGCGCGCCAGAGAATGCCAAACCCGCGCCTGCTCCTTTTCCCGCTCGCGCCCAGCTTCCGCCCTCTGCGACCGCTGTGTCTGAATGCGCAACCGGCGCAGCCGCGGGCGCCGCCGGGCGCCGACACCGCCCTTGCCGACGAGAGCCTGCAGACGCCTCCGATCCGGAGCGCAGCCCGATCTCCGTGTTGGGGCGCCCTCGAGGGCACGCAGTTATTCGCTCGCTTCGCGGTTCGGCTCCTCCTCCTCTTCCTCTTCCTCCTCCTCCTCCTCCTCCTCCTCCTCCTCCTCCTCCTCCTCCTCCTCCTCCTCCTCCTCCTCCTCCTCCTCCTCTCCCCTGGGGGGCAGCGCGAGAGCGCGGAGTGGGGCGCCCCTGCACCAAACAGCATGCCGATCAAGCGTCAGGTTTCTTATTCCTTGTTTGGCCGCTCGGCGCGGGCCCTCGCACCCCCCTCCCACCGCCCCTGGAGTAGATCTGGGCTGTTTGGGGTCGCCTGCTTCGAGCAGGCGGAGGCTCCCCCATACAGTCGGGGCCCTGAAGAAGGAACGCTTTTCGTTGGGGAGGGGCTCCGCGTTCCTTAAGTGTTTCACAGCTTGCCTCAGGTTTTCCTTATGTTTCCGATAGGAAATCGGAGTTCAACTTATGGAAAATAGGGGCCTCGTCCCACCGCCCCTGGACCTGGCATCGCTTGGACGTGTGCATTTTTCCTTCGGCGAGGACCATCGAGGTGCATCCTTGATCCTTTGGCGAAAAAGCCACGCACGACACCGAAAAAAACACGGGGAATGGACGTCCGAGCGATGGCCAGTGGAGTAGATCTGGGCCGTTTGGGGTCGCCTGTTTCGAGCAGGCGGAGGCTCCCCCGCAGGACGCACTGGTGCAAACGGTCGCACTGAGCGGAGGGCCGGAGCCACACCCCCTCCCCCCCCTTTGGCGCCCAATGTCGAAGCGCCGAAGAAGAAAACGCTCACATGTTGGAATGTGTACCGATCCACCACCCGGGGAGCCAAGCTTGGTGGTCCTCGGGAGGCGGCGGGGGTGGACCGGGTCCCCTCGGGCCTGCCCTTGTTTGTGGATGCGCTAGCAAGTTGCGCGTTCGACCAGCATTCGAAACTATGTTGCAGCAGACCCTGCGCTCTGATGGCAGATTCGACCCCGAGACTTGCATGCTTCGAGAACAAATGTCACGAACATAAGCTTTAGAAGAAGGAAACAACTGCCATGAACATAATCTTTAGAAGAAGGAAAAACGCCATAAGCATAAACTTATGGTGCTCCGCGCGGATTTCTTGGATCCGCGCTGGGACCCCCGAGCGGCGCCTCTGGCGCCGCTCCTGGCGCGCTCTGCGCGCCAGGGAGGGTGGTTCGGCTCGGATCCAAGAAATCGTCGCGGACCGTCAGAAGTTTACGTTTGTGGCATTTTTTGCCCATCTAGTGTTGGCCACTCACGAAGCCATGCTCATGACCCACGCCGACACGACAGCCTGCAAAAAGGTTTGAGGGGGCACAGAGGCGTGTGAGCCCACGCCTCGCACGCTCTCCCTCCCCGGGCTCTTGGGGTTCCTTCGAGCTGTCGCTGTGCCCTGTGCGCGGAGAGGTGCTCGACGCGGAAGCAGTTTCGCCATCCGGTCCTGGACTCCTCTGCTCGCTGCCGCATGACGCACAGGCCAGCGCCAGAGTGCCGCACATCTGCAGTGGCGGGAGGGTCCGTCGAGGTGCGCACGCAGACGAGCCCGCCTCCCCGTTCGGCACGCGGACGTTGTGTCCAAGCGTGTGCCGGCGACTGAAGACCGAATAGGCACGGCAAATGAGGTTGGAGCTCTGGCTGCATTTGGGTCATGTTGGACGTGGTTCCTCCTCCTCCTCCTCCTCCGCCTCCTCCGCCTCTTTCTCCTCCGCCTCCTCCTCCGCCTCCTCCTCCGCCTCACCCCTTTTAGTGCTGGGGCGTAGGGAGGAGAGAGGGATGGAAGACGAGATGAAGATGGAGTGATGGAGAGGCATGGGAAGGAGGAGGAGGAGGAGGAGGAGGATCATGGCGGTTCACTCGTCAAATCAACAGAAACAACCACCGACCTTCTTGGCTGTGCTCCCCCAGGCAAGACTGCTGACAGCAGTGTCACGGAGGAGTGCGCTTTCAGTCCGTCTCGTTTGGGGGCACGGCCCCTCGTGGACGCAGGACAACGGCAAGAAAGAGAAGGGGAAAGACGGTTTTGGGAGGAGGAGGAGGAGGAGGAGGAGGAGGAGGAGGAGGAGGATGGGGACGTGGAGGCAAAGGGATGGGGGGGAGCAAGGTGGGGAGGAGCGTTCTGGGATTGCCCTTGCTTGCGCAAGGGGTCCATCGGCTAATGGGGCCCTGGTGGCAGGCCGCGAAACCTGCGCACGGCCTGTCCGATTTTTCCTCGCCGTCGTCCTCCTCTCGCTCGGAGGTGGGGGAGGGAGGATCAGGGGGGAGAGGCGAAGAGGACGAGGGGGAACAGGAGGATGGGGAACAGGAGGAGGAGGAGGAGGAGGAGGAGGAGGAGGAGGAGGAGGAGAGGAGGAGGATTAGGAAGGGGACGGGCGAGGGGGATGATGATGATGTGATGATGATGATGATGATGATGCTGATGATGATGATGCTGATGATGATGATGATGATGATGATGATGATGATGATGATGATGAGGAGGAGGGAGGAGGAGGAGGAGGGAGGAGGAGGAGGAGATAGAGGATGAGGAGGAGGAGGAGGAGGAGGAGGAGGAGGAGGACGAGGAGGAGGAGGGGGAGGAGGCGGACTGACGTGAGTGGGACAGTGAGGAGTAGTACGGAGGAGGAGGCCCGGAAGAGGGGGGGGGGCGGAGAGGAGCAGCGGCGGATGGCGGCACGGGGCGCGCCGAGGACAACGCCCACTTCTGCGCGCGGTGCGACGCGAAGCACCACACCGAGAACGCTTTCTTCGCCAGGCGGCGGCGGCGGCGGCGACGGCGAAGGCGACTGCGAAAGACGACGACGACGACGACGACGACGACGACGAGCGATGACGACGACGACGACGAGCGATGGCGACGACGAGCGATGACGAAGGACGACGAGCGGCGACGTCGAGCGGCGACGTCGAGCGGCGACGACGGGCGGCGACGGCGACGAGCGGCACGCGCGGGGGGAGGCGGCGTCTTTCTTCCGACCCGCCGCCGCTCTTGCCTTGTGGTCGGGGGCGCCTTTGTGCGAATCTTCTGCACCGTAGCACTGGTCAGTCGCAGGCGATGTTCTCCCCCACCCCCTCGGCTTTTTGACTATACATTGGGCCGCTCAGACAAGGAGGGGAAACCTGGGATACACCCCCAGGGAGCCAGTCGGACGCACCCCTTATCGAGGATGGGCGCAAGACCATCGCATATCGCAGGGTTGGGCCCCAAAGTTTTGGTCTATTCGAAAGCCTCCCAAAGCCTTGGATTGGGGTCGACATACAGTCAAACCGCATGGTAAGGATGGGCAACCGTCCCAAGGGTACCCTTGCATCCTCGCCTTCTCGGTCCATCCTTGGCCACTTTCGTTGGCCGCGCCCCGCTTGGGAAGCTCCGAAACGGCCTCCCAAAGCCCTTGCATCCTTATCGCGCATCCTTGCGCATCCTTATGCTACGGGTCGATTGTCCCCTCTGTTAGCCACAGGGGAACGAGGAATGACATACACATAACAACTCGGAGGTCCGCGCGGATTCTCCGCGCGCCAAGGAGGGGCGTCCAGCGCCGATCCGAGAAGTCTGCGCGGATTTCCGAGTTTTTTTTTTTTTTTGTTAGTTTCCCCCCGAGTCAGGACATCGGCCGATTGAGATCAGGCGACATGCTGCGGTCGGCGCCTCGGGAAGCGCGCCGAGGTCGGCCAAGGTCTGGGGCCCAGGAGGGCCCCGACAACCCTCGGGTGATCCCCGCCCCCGCCGCTGCCAGTGGCGGCCGACGGCGAGGGTTGAGATGCCACGCGCGGAGTTAAGGAGGAGGAGGAGGAGGAGGAGGAGGAGGAGGAGGGGCGAGGAGGAGGAGGAGCGAGGAGGAGGAGGAGGAGAAGCAGGAGGAGCAGGAGGAGGAGTTGCAGGAGGAGGAGGAGGAGGAGGAGGAGGAGGAGGAGGAGGAGGAGCAAGTGCGCCCATCGCCTCCCGAGGTGCCAGCGCGGATCTGCACCCACCCTGGCTGGGCCGATCGTGGGCCCAGGATATCGGTGCGCAGGTCCGCGTGGCCAAGCCAGGATGGCGTGCAGCAAGCCCGCAGAGTAAGAATGGGCAGCCTTCCCAAGGATACCCTTGCATCCTTGCCTCCTCCTCCTCCACCGCCTCCTCCTCCTCAATTCCTTTTCCATATAAACAGCTTTTCTCTGTCGCACCCCGGTGCGTTTCGCCTGAGACTTCCTCACCACTTATGACCCTGCAGCTTAAACATTAACAACATTTGTACATATGGAGGGCGGATGGTTTTCGACATGTGGCTCTCGCCTTAGCGCCGCGCATGTTCGTTTTAAAACGTTGCAAGAGTTTCGCGGATTGAGGGTCACCCGGTTTCACAAAGTTGTTCTCGCCTCAGCGCCGCGCACATTCGTTCTTAAAGCTTGCAGGAGCTTCACGGATTGAGGGCGGTTCTTTTTCAACACGTGTCTTTATAATAGTACTAGTAGTAATAATAATATAAATAATCATAATAATGATAATAATAATAGTATGAATAGTAATCATACTAATCCTACTAATGCAAGAGTTTCACGGATTCCCATGACCAGAGTACCAGAAATTGCGTTCTGGAAGGATTCAGGATTGTAAGGATGCAACAATTACGTTGATTCGTGGCGTTGAAGTCCCCGTAAGGGCATTATGGTACGAGTCTTGAGTGTCAAGACGCAGCAATCAGGTCTATCCGTGGCGTTAGAAAACAGAGAAAACATGTTTTGGTATGCTTCAGGTCTTAGGCAGTTTCCTTCTGTGGAAATAAACCGTTGTAGGGGCCTATGAAGAGGAAGCTTGGAGAGATTGTTTATTCCAATATCGTTGATGACTCTTGGGTTTACGCTGGTCCTCCTCCTCCTCCTCCTCGCTCCTCCTCCTCGTCGCTCCTCCTCTTCCTCCTCGCTCCTCCTCCTCCTCCTGTTCATCCTGAGGTGGTGAGATCGCCTGCTCGCTCATCGCCGATGGCGGCCCGGGGCTCCCTTGGCAGCATCGCTGAACCGATCCCTACAGTCGACCCGCGTAGTCAGGATGGGCAACCTTCCCAAGGACATCCTTGCATCCTTGCCTCCTCGGTCCAGCATTCGCCACTTTCGTCGGCCGCGCCCCGCTTGAAGCGCTCCGAGGTGAACGTCCAAGGCCCTGGCATCCTGAGGCGCATCCTTATGATAGGGGCCGGCTGTGCAGTCGGGGCGCTGAAGAAGGAACCCGTTTCGTTGGGGAGGGGCTTGGTGTTCCTTGAGCGTTTGAAAGTCAAGTTTGCCTCGGGTCTTCCTCAGGTTTTCCATGGGACGTTGAGGTGGAACTCACAGGAAAAAGGGGCCTCGTTCCTTATTTTTTAGGGCTCCTTAGGCCAATGCTCCGGCTGTATGCGCTGACGCTGGGCGCAGGCAGGGCCCAGCCAGCAGCGGCGTGCGTGCACTGAAGGCGGTGCCCATTCCGCGCCGGCGGAGCCGGCGGGCGGCATGCCGCAGCAGGCCGCAGCTCGCGAGGCCGGCAGCGGGCGGAGCCTGCGCGTGGCGGGCCGCAGGCGGCAGGCGGCGTCCTTCGAGGCCGTGTTCCTGGCATCGCTCGGACGTGTGCATGTTTCCCGGAAAGGGCCTGAGCCCAGGGTTCTCTTTTAGTTGGTTTCCCCCTGGTTTTGACGGCTGTAGGGCCGGCGAATTTCTTTTGCGATAAATAACGAGGTCGCGTAGGGCCGGCGAATTAAATGTTGAGGATGTCTCGAGCGAAACGCTTGTTTTTCAGAATTGGTTGAGGATGGGCGAGGACCATCGAGGAGCATCCTTGATCACTTGGCGAAAAGACCACGCACGAGGCCGAACAAAGACACAGGGAATGGACGTCCGAGCGATGGCCAGTGTTCCACCGAGCACACACATTCAGGAGGAAAAGAAGCACACAGACACAATTCATCGTCGATTCCCCAGAAAATATGCGAGACTATGGGAAGTGGGGGGGAAGACAAAAACCCAGAAAATATACGAAAATATGGGGAATCCTGTCATTTGTGTATGTATTGAATCGCTTCGCTCATTCCGCCGGCCCATAATGTCCTACCGTGGTCGCCTGTCCGAGTGGTCGTTTGCAGTGTGGAGCTGCGGCGTCGGAAGCTGTGTGTAGTGTTGGGGGCGTTCTTGGGGCCCTCTTGGGCCGTCCTGGAGGCCTCTGGGGCCGTCTTGGAGCCGTCTTGGGCCGTCTTGGGGCCCTTTTGGGGGCCTCTTGGGCCCTCTTGGGGCGATCTTGGAGGCCTCTTGAGCCGTTTAGGGGCGTCGGCGAACCGAAAAGGTTAAAACGCCCAAATCTGTCCAACACCAAAGGAAAAGCACAGGTTTGTGCCTCTTGGGGCCCTCTTGGGAGTTCTCTTGGAGGCCTCTTGGGGCATCTTGGAGGCTTCTTGGCCCATCTTGGAGACGTCTTGGGCCGTCCGGAGGCCATCTTGGGCGTCGTGGAGCGATCCTCGGGCGTCTCGGACCTCTATTGGACCGTGTTGGGGGCGTTCTTCTTGGGGGCCTCTTGGGCCCTCTTGGGGCGATCTTGGAGGCCTCTTGAGCCGTTTAGGGGCGTCGGGGAACCGAAAAGGTTGAAACGCCCAAACCAAAGGAAAAGCACAGGTTTGTGCCTCTTGGGGCCCTCTTGGGAGTTCTCTTGGAGGCCTCTTGGGGCATCTTGGAGGCTTCTTGGGCCATCTTGGAGACGTCTTGGGCCGTCCGGAGGCCATCTTGGGCGTCGTGGAGCGATCCTCGGGCGTCTCGGACCTCTATTGGACCGTGTTGGGGGCGTTCTTGGGGCCCTCTTGGGCCGTCCTGGAGGCCTCTGGGGCCGTCTTGGAGCCGTCTTGGGCCGTCTTGGGGCCCTTTTGAGGGCCTCTTGGGCCCTCTTGGGGCGATCTTGGAGGCCTCTTGAGCCGTTTAGGGGCGTCGGGGAACCGAAAAGGTTGAAACGCCCAAATCTGTCCAAAACCTAAGAAAAAGCATTAATGTTTGCCTCTTGGGGCCCTCTTGGGAGTGCTCCTGGAGGTCTCTTGGGGCATCTTGGAGGCTTGTTGGGTCATCTTGGAGACATCTTGGGCCGTCTGGAGGCCATCTTGGGCGCCGTGGAGCGATCTTCGGGCGTCTCGGACCTCTATTGGACCGTGTTGGGGGCGTTCTTGGGGCCCTCTTGGGGCGATCCTGGAGGATCTGGGGGAGAGTACCGGGCTCCGCCCGGGCTCCGCCCGGGTTTTTTTTGATCCAGGGGCCCCCAGGGGCCGCCCCGCGCGCGCGAACTAGAAATACTGTTTACCAGTTACCGGAGATCTTAGCACGCCTCTGGCCCGTTGGGCCGGCGAATTTGTGTGTCCCAGGGCCCTTTCATGTCCGTCGGCGGCGGGGCAGGATTGCTGCACCAGCGGTCGGGCTACTCTACACGGGGCCACCGGAGAGCGACTTGGCCAGCGTGCACGAGGAGGGACTGAGACAGACAGGGCGGCCGCGGACTTCGCTCCTTTGCTAATCTCGCGTGCCCCAGGAATCTTGGTCCAGGGGCATCGGCTTGAGTCCTTTGCCCCAGGCTGTGAGTAGCGGCACCGTGGTTGCTCATCGCCTGCGCCCTCAAGGGGCGCTAAAACTCTGTAGCGGTGCCCAGGGCAAAGATCTCTGGAGGAGGGGCCCTCGAGGGCCGGCACAACCTCGCGCGCGGAGGAGGAGGAGGAGGAGGAGGAGGAGGAGGAGGAGGAGGAGGAGGAGGAGAGGAGGAGGGAGGAGGAGGAGGAGGGAGGGAGGAGGAGGGAGGGAGGAGGAGGGAGGAGGAGGGAGAGGAGGGAGGGGAGGCACCCAGAGGCGCAAGGCTTCCATCCCGAGTGCGGAGGCGCGGCCAGCCTCGGCAGGGGACCCTGGCAGCTGCCGGGCCGCGGCGCCGGTGCATCCACGGGCTCTCCTCCTCCTCCTCTCCTCCTCCTCCTCCTCCTCTCCTCCTCCCCTCCTCCTCCTCCTCTCCCCCTCCTCTTCCCCTCTCCGACGAGGCCCAGGACGTGGAACGCATGGGTACCTGCAGCAGAGCCGTCCAGGTGTGGGCCGCCCTGACTCCAGATCCGCCCTACTTTGGCTTTTTTCCCCAACTTAAAACTCGGAGATCTACCTGTAAGAGGCGGAAAAAGTAGGGCGGAAATTGCTGCACCCAGCATGAAGTAGGGCGGAAACCCACGGAAGTAGGGCGGAAACAGCAGCAGAAAAGTAGGGCGGAAATTGGCATCAGCGGGGTTTGAAAAGTAAGGCGGAAATTCCAAGCCCTACTTACGAATTTCCCCAAAGTAGGGCGGATCCGGAGTCAGGGCGACTCGGTAGTGTAAGGGAAAGCGCAGCGAAGCCGCCCAGGTGTGGGCCAGCCAGGTGTTCCACAGAGCGCACAAGCCGGTGTTGTTACTGAGCTCCGTGTTCCGCAAATATCACGGGCCGGTTTAGCAATCGTCGCGCGGGACAGTGTCGTTGAGGAGCGCCGTGTCCCACATCACCCCGGGCAGTCTCGTTGGTGAGCGCGGTAGTCAACCGAGCACACGGCCATCATTGCCGACGTGTGCTACGTCTCACCAACCAGCCTGTCCAGCCAGCAAATCGCACAGATCGACGTTGCTGAGAGCTGTGGTCCACGGAGCACACGGCCATCATTGCCGATGGGCGCCATGTCTCACCAACCAGCCTGTCTAGCCAGCAAATCGCACAGATCGATATTGACGACGCAGTGCGTGTCCAGCAAACCACACTGGCCGATATCGCCAGCGAGCGCTGTGCCAAACAGACCACACTGGGCGGTCGTGCGGGTGAATGCCGTGTTTGCACCGTGCTGGCATCGCCGATACAGCCGCGCCAAACATGTTTCATTGGCAGTTCGTTTCCTTCGCATCCTCTTCCTGTTCATCGTATCCTTCCGTCCTTTCTCCCTCCTCAGGCGACGATGCGACTTGACCTCGCCCTAATGGATGTCACCGCCGCCTTGCCTTTAGGCATCAGCGCTTCGACATGAAGCACTCGCCGTTCCTGTACGGGTTCTTGGCTTAATGGGCTTCGCTCCGTCGATCATCGAGGGACATCGAGCGGCATTAACGTAGCCTTTTTTTACGTGAGATCCGCGAATTTCTTGGATCGACGTTTGGGCCCCTCTGGCGGCTCCTCCCGCGCCGCCCTTGCAGGGCGCGCTCCGCAGGCCGGGGATGGGGGTGGGGGGCAGCGCAGATCCAAGCAATCCGCGCGGACTTCCGAAAGTATATGTGGATGGACTTGTTGCTGGTCCTCTATGCCAGGGCTCGAGTTGAACGGTGTATGTCGATTTCGTGGACCGTTTTCGTGCTGGTCTCGGTTTGCAGCAAGGGCGGAACGATCGCGTAACGATTGGGCACGCAAACAACACGAAAACACGATGCATTCATGTTCGAACCCTGCTCTGTGCTGTACCGCCAAGGCGCTGAAATAATGGCCACTTGGGGCTCATGGGGGGGCTCGGGTTGTGGTGCCGCTCCTTGGATCTGGGAGGAGGAGGAGGGGGAGGAGGACGAGGACGAGGACGAGGAGGATGAGGAGGACGAGGACGAGGACGAGGAGGAGGGAGGAGGGAGGAAGAGAGGGAGGGAGGAGGAGGAGGAGGGGAGGAGGAGGAGGGAGAGAGGGAGGAGGAGGAGGAGGAGGGGTCGTCGAACCCGCTTGTGGCCGAGGCCCGCCGTGGACGGGAACAAGCCCCCTCCGCTCCCCGTGCGCAGCGCCCCCCTCTGGTAGCAGCACGAGGACTGCAGCTCGAGCCCCGGTTCCCGCTCGTGGCCGAGGCTAGCCGTGGCCATGGAATCGAGTAAGAAAACAAGGCCCTCTTCCTCCTCCTTCTCCTCCATCATCCTCAGCCCTCCTCCTCCTCCTCCTCCTCCCTCCTCCTCCTCCTCCTCCTACTCCTCTCCCTCCTCCTGCCCCTCCTCCTCCTCCTTCTCCTCCATCATCCTCAGCCCTCCTCCTCCTCTACTCCTCCCTCCTCCTGCCCCTCCTCCTCCTCCTCCTCCTCCTCCTCCTCCTCCTCCTCCTCCTCCTCCTCCCCCTCCTCCTCTCCTCCTCCCTCCTCCTCCTCCCTCCTCCTCCCTCCTCCTCCTCCTCCTCCGCCTCCTCCTCCTCCTCCTCCTCCTCCTCCTCCTCCTCCTCCTCCTCCTCCTCCTCCTCTCCCCTCCCCTCTTACGATCTGACCGAGGTATAAGATCGAGGTCGGTTCGGGGAGGGGGCCCCGGCTCCCGCTCGTGGCCGAGGCTTGCCGTGGCCAGGGAAGCCCCGTCGTTCCCAATTCTGCGTTCTTTGCAGGGCTCGTTTCGACTCCTCTAATTCGGTTCGACTCGACTCCGATGGCTTCCGATTCCGATTCGACTCGATTTGGGATTCTGACTTGAGTTCCGATGTCTCATTCTCATTGGGGCCGAGGCTCGCCGTGGCCAGGGAAGCGGAGAAGAAAGAACGGCATAAACATAAACTTTTGGCGCTCCGCGCGGATTTCTTGGACCCGCGCTGGACCCCCCCTGGCGGCGCCTCCAGCGCCGCCCTTGGTGCGCTCCGCGCGCCGTGGAGGGGGGCCCGGCGCGGATCCAAGAAATCCGCGCGGACCTCCAGGAGTGTATGTTTATGCTGTCGTCTGCTCCTCTGAGGAAGGCCCCTTCGTTCCCCACTCTGCGTCCGCTGTGGCAGCACGATGGCTGCGGCTCGAGCCCTGCTCCGCGCTGTGATCTCGCCGCTCCGTGGGTCGATCTGGGCCAGGGCGGCCCCCCGGGCCACCGAGCGGTGGGGGCCACGCTCGGTGGCAGGGCCACCGCGGGCGGAGTGAAGGTCCGGAGCGGGCCGCGGACCGGCGTGGATCGGGGGGTCTCCCAAGCGTGTCACGCCGTCAGCGAAACAGGCAAGGCCAGAAGTTCGAGAGGTGTTCGGTCCGAGGTGTCCTCGGTCTGCGAGCGCTCCAGACAGCGACGGGGCGAAGCCGTGCGGCGACGGAAGTTATTTGGGCCCCGTTCGAGATTTTCCGTTGGAGGAGCAGTGGGGGGAAGAGGAGGAGGCAGGAGGAGGAGGAGGCGGAGGAGGAGGAGGAGGAGGAGGCGAAGGAGGAGGAGGAGGAGGAGGAGGAGGCGAAGGAGGAGGAGGAGGAGAGATCAGGAGGAGGAGGAGGAGGAGGATGAGGAGCAGGAGGAAGGAGGAGGAGAGGGGAGGGAGGAGAGGTAGAGGAGAGGGAGAGAGGAGAGGAGGGAAGTGAGGAGAGGAGGAGGAGGGAGGAGAGGCGGGAGAGGAAGGAGGAGAGAGGGGAGAGTGGAGGAAGGAGGAGAGGAGGAAGGAGGAGGAGGAGGAGGAGGTGCCTTGAGGAGGAGGAGGAAGGAGGAGGCGGAGGAGGAGGAGGAGGAGGGGGAGAGGAAGAGGAAGAGGAGGGAGGAGGAGGTGGGAGGAGGGGAGGAAGGAGGTGCCTTGAGGGAGTGAGGAGGAAGGAGGAGGGAGGAGGAGGAAGAGAAAGAGGAGGAGGAGGAGAGGAGGAGGAGGGGAGGAACTACATTATAAGAATGATAATAATAATAATACTAATAATACTAATAATAATAAGAAGAAGAATATATTCATACAAATAATTTTTATTATTATTACTAATAATAATAAGAATAATAATAAAATAGGAGAAGAGGAGGAGGATAGGGAGGAGGAAAGGAACGAGGAGGACGAGGGGGGGAGAGGGGATGGAGGAGAGGAGGAGGAGGAGGAGAGGATAATAATAATACTAAGAATAATAATATTATGAAGAATACTAAGAATATAATACTAGTAAATCAGAATAGGAGATAAGAGGGGAGGAGAGGAGGAGGAGAGGAGGGAGGAGGAGGAGGAGGAGGAGGAGGAGGAGGAGGAGGGGGAGGAGGGAGGGGGGAGGAGGAGGGGAGGAGAGGGAGGAGGGGAGGAGGAGGAGGAGGAGGAGAGGAGGAGGAGGAGGAGGAGGGGTGTGTTGGAGGTTTTCGGACGTCGTCGTTGGTTTTCCGCGGCCTTCCAGCCTCGGGGACTGCCTCGGGGTGCCTTCCAGCGGCCGCGCCTCGCCCTGCGGCTGTCCGAGGGTCCCCGGATCGTCCCGAACGGCCGCCAGAGAGCCGAGTTTCTCGACCCGAAAACCAGACACGCAAGGTCTCAAGCCTAGACATGATAGCTTCGTAAGAAAATCAGGACGGGCGGTTTTTCGCTATGTTCGGCCCCTGGGGCCCTCGCCGGGCCCCAGGGCCGTCAAAAAGCCACGCAGGATGAAAAGCCGGCCCCTCGGAAAGGGTCGGGGAACGAACGAGTCGGGAGTTTCGGGGACATGCTCGGGCATGTTGCGTCAGGAACGAAACAACGACGCACGCGCACTGAAATCAACATCTGGATTCGGGAGAGCGCCTCGCGCGAGTGTTAGGGACATGAGGGCGGCCTCGCGAACTGGGGAGATTCGTTTACGTTCAGCACCACCCAAACACAGTCTATCGGCACGCTCTTCGCTGGCGCGGGCCGTCGTTTGGTTCCTCTTCCCGCTGGTTCATGATCGCGGATTCGACGCTCGTTCTTGGCGGGTTCACGACCTTCGACGCCTGGCAGCTGATGGCGCGGGTTCAGGCCACACGCTCATTTGCTGCGCGTGAACCTGGAGGATGACGTGTCCTTGGCGTTCTCGGTCCCGGCCCTCCGCCTTTGAGCGGCGCTGCGTGAGTTCCTGTTTCCCCCTCCTTTCGTCGTCCTCGTCCTCCTTCGCCTCGCTTGCTGTGCCGTAGTGTGTCACCTGTCCATTTTCGCCGCTCGAGCTCAACTTCTGCGGCCCCATCGTTTTTCCGCTCGCCGGCGACAGTTGCGCTGTGCTCTTGCACCGGGTTACGCTCTTCGCACGACCTCACGACGCCGCGCGGCTGTCCGCTTGCGGCTGCGGTCAAAAAGTGCCCCCACCAGCCCGCCCAGAAGCGTTGCCCAGGCGATATGCCCTGATCAGGGATGTGGAGGCGCACGCAATGCAACAGTGGGCAGAGGAAACCGTCGTATCCCAAGAGGGGGACAATGGAGGAGGATTCGGAGGAGGAAGAAGAAGAGGAAGAGGAGGAGGAGGAGGAGGAGGAGCGGGGTGAGGAGGGAGGAGGGAAGAAGAGGAATGGGTGAACGAGGAAGAGGAGATGGAGGGGGGCGAAAGGCCAGCGGTTTCTTGGACGCATGTCGGAGTCTCTTCGGATGCCTTCTGGGAGCCTCTTGGGGTCCCCCTGGAGCGTCTGGGAGGCTCTTGGGTGCCTCGGGGCAGCCTCTTGGGACTTCGGGGGGGTTTTCTGGGAGCCTTTTTGTGGTCCTGTTGAGAGCTTGTTGGGGCCTCCTGGGCGCCTGTCGGGGGCCCTTCTTGGGAAACGTGGGGGCCATCTCCGAGGACATCGATTAAAGAAAAGGGGGTCCCGACTTAAGCAATCATCTAGAGCCCTTACAGTCGGTTTTTGGGCCCTTTTTGGAACGCTTTTGGGGCGGTTTTGGAACCTCCGTTGGTTTCCTCTCTTGGGGATCCCTCGGGCCGTCTTGGAGTAATCTTGAGGTCTAACTAGTGGGGCCACCGAAAGCGCAAAGGTGAGAAGACAAACCACTTTGATTTCCCTCGGGTGTTGGACGGACGTTGGCCTCCTGATAGTTTCCTTGTGAGGTCCCGTGGCCACTTGGAGCCGTCTTGGGGCGGTTTGGTTGTTTTTGGAGCATGTTGGAAACCATTTTGAGCCATCTTGGAGGTCATACACGGATCTCTGTGGCCTTTTTTTGGCCATCTTGGGCCATTTTGGACGCTCCAGTCTGTCGCGGCCACTCCCATACAGACCCGGGGTTGTTGGGGCGGGGTCCAGCTCCCCACAAGCAAGAACGTGTCACCGAAGGGGAACGAGGGGAACACTGCAGGTACGAGTCTGGAGCATTTTTCGGCAGACGCGACATAACCTACTACATCCTGCGCAAAACATAATTTTTCTCTAAAAGAGTTTCCAATGTTTACCCCACCGACCCAAAGGCGTCACATTGTCCGCCCTGGCGGGTCCGTCAATTAGCGCCACCCTGCATGGAAGAGGAACCGCGCTGAGCCACTCACGCCCATAGGGCCTGTGGGATTCATAGTACAGTGGGGGGCCCATGCCAACAAACACCCTGCTTGCCTCCAGGGTGTCCTGGGTCCTGTCAGGGCGACGTTCCCACGCCAAAAATCAGAGGACGTTATGGCTCTGGGGTCTCAGGGTTGGGTTTCTCGTTGAAGGTTTCTTGCGGAATGGCTTCTACTCCAAACCACTCACGCCCAGAGGGCTGGTGGGACTTGTAATGTTGCGCGTCGGCCACACAACGGCGGCGCGCACACGCTCGGACGTTTCATTTATAAGTATATGATCCGCGGCCGGTGTGCACGTTCTGGCAATACCGCTTGGGAAACGATGCTCGGGGGCGGGCAAGAGTGGGGTGATGACTGGGGGGGGGAGATACCATGGCGGGGGCCATGACATTCGCCCACATTTCAAGGCGCCTCATCTTGCCGCCGGCCATGACTTGCGCCCCCCCCCCCTCTTGGACGCCCCCCTCCTGGCCGCTCCCGATACCAGGTGACCGGGTCGGACGTGCGTCTCGAACAGACGCACAAGGTACCAGTATGACCTGAATGCGTCCCAGCGTACGGCCTCTTTTTGGGGGCTGCCCGTTGTCAGGTTCTGCCCGTACCACCCCAGCGAGCGCCTCGAGACGGCCTGCCTGCAGTGCAGGAAGCTGCTGTGCAAGCTGTGCAACCAGGCGGGGGCGCTGCGTGCATCATCGGCGCACGCCTTGCACTGACAGATCAGATGAGGAAGGTACGGCGAGAGATGGCAGAGAAAGGGACAACGATGTAGGATGCATAAGGTGTGTATATATATATGTGTATACATGTATATATATACACACATACACATATATATATATATGCCAACAATAATAATGGCAATACGAATAGTAAACACACCAATATTTGGAATACGAATAATCACAATGCCAATAATACTAGTAATACTAGTAATAAGGCTAATAATAATACTAATACCCATAGCAATAATAATGATAATAATAATAATACTAATAATAATAATGATGGTAATAATAAACGTAATATTAATACGTATAATAATACGAGTGATGGTAGCAATAATAATAACAAAACCTAATAGTAATAGTTTCAAGACTGATGAGAAGACTAGTACTACGAATACGAATAACAGTAAAATCAATAATACAATATATACATATACGCCAGTGCACCCACCATGAACCCCCCTTTTCTCTTGGAAGATGCCAAGAAAAAAAGGGGGCGGGTGCGGTTGGAGTTTCGGGTGTCGCGCCGCGTTGTGGTGGTAGGATCTGGAGTACATGTGTGTGTTGGAGACGGAGGGAGCCTGTTGAGTATCGGGTGTTGTGTTGGAGACGGAGGGAGTTGAGTACTGGGTGTTGTGTTGGAGACGGAGGGAGTTGAGTAGAAGGTTATTTTCAAGTTCAGCTTGGGGAGGGAGCCTGTTGAGTATCGGGTGTTGTGTTGGAGAAGGAGGCTGTTGAGTACTGGGTGTTGTGTTGGAGACGGAGGGAGTTGAGTAGAATTTTCTTTTCAAGTTCAGCTTGGGGAGGGAGCCTGTTGAGTATCGGATGTTGCGTTGGAGAAGGAGGCTGTTGAGTACTGGGTGTTGTGTTGGAGACGGAGGGAGTTGAGTAGAAGGGAGCTCAACAAGTCTTCCAAAAAAGAGCCTCAAAAGTGATACATAAATTCATATATAATCATGAGAAAGGGGGGTTCTTGGTGCAGCTTGGGGAGGGAGCCTGTTGAGTATCGGGTGTTGTGTTGGAGAAGGAGGCTGTTGAGTACTGGGTGTTGTGTTGGAGACGGAGGGAGTTGAGTAGAAGGTTCTTTTCGAGTTCAGCTTGGGGAGGGAGCCTGTTGAGTATCGGGTGTTGTGTTGGAGAAGGAGGCTGTTGAGTATTGGGTGTTGTGTTGGAGACGGAGGGAGTTGAGTAAAAGGTTCTTTTCAAGTTCAGCTTGTGGAGGGAGCCTGTTGAGTATCGGGTGTTGTGTTGGACAAGGAGGCTGTTGAGTATTGGGTGTTGTGTTGGAGACGGAGGGAGTTGAGTAGAAGGTTCTTTTCAAGTTCGGCTTGGGGAGGGAGCCTGTTGAGTATCGGGTGTTTTGTTGGAGAAGGAGGCTGTTGAGTAATGGGTGTTGTGTTGGAGACGGAGTGAGTTGAGTAGAAGGGAGCCCAAAAAGTCTTCCAAAAAAGAGCCTCAAAAGTGAGTCCGAAAATCGTGGGAATCATATATAGAATCATATACAATCATGAGAAAGGGGGGTTCTTGGTGGGTGCACAGGGCTGTATATATATATATATATATATATATATATATATGTATATATATATATATATATATACATATATATACCCCCTTGGCCCCGGGTCACACAACTCCCCGTGACATCTCGGGGACGCTCCCGGTACAGCTCTCCCGGCCTGTCCTGGGAGCCTCCACAGCGCTCCAGGACGGCCCAAGACGCCTCCCAGGAGCCCCCAGAATGCGAAAGGATGGCCCAAGACGCTCCCAAGCAGCCGAAGTCAGCCTTCCGGAGCTCCCAGGTGGCCTCCAAGAGACCCCAAGAGAGGTCCGAGAGGCGTCCCAGGACGGCCCGAAGAGGCCAAAATCGTCGAGTTGCATTGGTTCTTCAAACATTTTTGGCTTCTCGCGTTTTCGAGCTCCCAACGGTCCAAGAGTGCCGAAGAGGCTCCCAAGACCGCCCCAACACCATCCAAGAGACCCTCAGGACGGCCCCAACACGGGCAAAGAAGGCTCCAAGACTGCCGAAGAGGCGCCCAGGACAGCCCCAGACCACCCCAGAACAGGCCCAAGATGGGCCCAGGAGCGGGAGCACGAGGCGTCCGGAGACCTCCGAGAGGCCTCCGGGACCACCCAGAGGCCCCCAACACACACCCGATCCCTGAGAGGCCCCAAAAAGACCCCGACGAGGCTCCAAGAACAGCCCAAGAGAGCTGCGAGAGCCGTCCCGAGAGAGCCCAAAGAGGGTCAACGAAATCGTTGATTTCCAAAGGTTTTTCTAATGTTTTTCGCCTTCTCACGTTTTCCCGCTTCCAACCCTCGAAGATCGAGGAGTTTTTAGAGAGAAAAAACAAAAATGAATTTCCAGAATTCCTTTTTTTTTTTTGTCGAAGGGGACTCCTACTCGGAGATCCCACGCATCCCCTGCCATCTGGCCGGTATTGCGCCTCCCGGCTTCCCAGGGGGCCCCCAAGGCGCTCAAGGACAGCCCAAGACGACCCCAAAGGAGCCCCCAGAACTTAAGGAACGGCCCAACACGCTCCCGCGCAGCCCGAGACACCCTTCCGACGGCTCTCCAGGCCTCCAGGAGGCCTCCAGGAACCCCCAGGGGGTCCAGAAGATCCCACACCCCTGAGGGGCCTGGCTAACAAAACCCGCGATGCGCGAACAAAAAACAGCGCCGAACAGCGCCGAGGAACTGACAAAAAAATTGTAATCCTACAATTCTTTGTTTTCCCAGGTTTGGCCCCTGGTCTACTCTTGCACAACAGACCACAATTCAGACCCCCCTCACCTCCCAAAAAAGAACCCAGGAAGCCTTTGAGGGCCCCAAATCTTTGAATACCTAAAAGGAATGATTGATTCCTGCGTTTCCGCACTTCCCCTTCTATACGCTTGCGCAGGGCCTCCAAGGGAGTCCCTGGACGCAAGACGCGACCACCATGAAATTACATGAGTTAGCCTATCAAGCCTAGCTAGAACTTGAGCGCGCGCGAAGCGCGCGCGATGGTTCTAGTGAATAGTTATGCAGCCCGAGTCAGTGGTGTTTGAGCACCGGCTGGTCTCCGGAGTGCTCGGCATAAGAATATGGCTGGCACCATTGAGGCATTCTCGAGCCTAGCTAAACAGAAATAACTCGACACGAGAGATAGAAAGAGCGAGAGAGAGAGAGAGAACTAACAAAGAGAGAGAGAGAGAGAGAGAGGGAGAGGAAGCGACAGCGTAGAGGCAGTGAGTCAGAGAGGGAATAGCGAGCGGCCAGGGACGAGTTGCAGGAGCCGGGAGGGAGGAGGGATCGGAGGCGAGGTGGGAGGATTGCGACGAAAAGAAGCGGCATGTCGAGCGCTTGTAGTGCACGCGCAGGGCATGCCAGGACCACTCTGAGCAACAACATGTTACGCTGCCCGATTGTTTCACACTGTCTCCGAGGTTCGGGATCCTCTTCCACTGCGCTTGCATGAGGCGTTCGTCACGCCCACCAAGGCAATCCCTTCTCTGGAAATCATCCTGGGCCACCAAGGGTGGATTTATTGCCTGATGGGGCCGTCTGTGGAGGTCTTAGCGCCATAGGAGTGGGGGTTTTAGAAATCCAGGTGGTCTTGGAGTAGTTTTGGGCTGCCTGCCTTAGAGCCGTCTTGAGCCAGTCGTGAGCCGTTCAGGCTTATCTTTCTTCCACAAGTTCCCGTAGCAGTCCAGCAAGCAAGAGCAACCTCATAGGTACAGGCCTGCGCGGAACATCTCCTGCCAGCCCGGCGGACCAGCCGAGGACCTGGGGCGTTTTTTTGCCGAAGGTTCCTCGGGACGGTCTGGACAGGGCGAGTTGGGGCAGGCTTTGGGCTGCCTTTTGGCCCGTCTTATGTAGACCCCCCCGCCTCCTCCTCCTCCTCCTCCTCCTCCTCCTCCTCCTCCTCCTCCTCCTCCTCCCCGGGCAGCTTGCTTCACCGCGTCCAGGCTAGCCCCGACGGCGGCACGGAGAGCTTCTATAGAGGTCGTCCTTCGGGCGTGTCGTCACGGGGGGTGGGAGAAGAGGGGGGGATGAGGGGTGCAGGAGGGGAACCTCCTCCTCCTTCCTCCTCCTCCTCCTTCCTCCTCCTCCTCCTTCCCTCCTCCTCCTCCTGCTCCTCCTGCTCCTCCTCCTCCCTCCTCCTCCTCCTCCTCCTCCTCCTCCTCCTCCTCCTCCTCCTCCCCCTCTTCATCATCACCATCGTCGTCATCATCATCATGATCGTAGTCATCATCGGCAGCACCATCATAGTCGGGCATGTCCCTCCACAGGAGGAATATTCCGAAATAGTCAGCAAACATAGTCTGGGGACGAGGTTTCGATCACTTCTGACTATTTTTGAGCACTCTTTGACTATGCTTCACTCCTCTTCCAAAATCCGCCTACTAAAGGGACCCGTGGGCCTGAAGGGGCACGAAAGGTAAAGCTTTCTCCCCCCCCCTCCGTTTACTGACTCCCCCGCCAAGCGAAGCGCCGCACTCCTGGGCGATGAGCGGCCGGAAGCCGGCTCTGCACTTCGACGCCGAAGCCAGTCGTTGGCGGCGGCCTGGCAGTGCGCCTGCCGCCGCGGAGTGCGAGCCAGCGCATCCCCCACGGGCGGAGGAGGAGGAGGAGGAGGAGGAGGAGGAGGAGGAGGAGGAGGAGGAGGAGGTTCTCGAACGAGCTTGCGGTGCCGCCGAGAGTGGCCAACCCGACGACGAAGGCGATGGCGACGACGTGGGCCCAGACCGTCCCTCGCGTCGTGAAAAAATCGCGACGGGAGGCTTTTCGCTGCTTTCGGCCCCAGGGGGGCCTTCCCGGGCCTCGGGAGCGCCAAAAAACTATTCAGAATGAGAAACCGGCCCCCAGGAAGGAGTCCGGACTTCTGGGGGTCACGCCATGGAAAAGCCACGACGTCGGGGGTTCGGGGACGTCGTCGTCACCGTCACCATTAAAACAGGGCTAGGATCGGGATGAATCGCTCCAGAGCGTTCTGGAGCGCTCTCAGAGCGTTCCGGAACGCTCTGGAGCGGCCGCGGCGCCCAATACATCCTCCAAACCCGCCGATCCTCAGAGATTTTGTCCCGATCTTTCGCGTCGTTTTAACCGTCATCGTCTCGCTCGGCGCAAACAGGGAAGCCCTCGCCAGACATGCTGGGAGCGTCTCCAGGCCCTCGCAGTCTGCCGGGCCTCGGCGCTGCCTGCGTCGGCGGGCCCGGTGCCAGGCTGCACAGGCAGCTTTCGGGAGGGCTGTCTCGAGCACTCTGCGGTTGGGGGGGGGTCGTATTGGAGGAGGGGGAGGGAGGAGGAGGAGGAGGAGGAGGAGGAGGAGGAGGAGGAAATGATGGGAGGAGGAAAGGGAGGCATGAGAAAGAGGAAGGAGCGGGCAGGAGCAGGAGTAGGAGGAGGAGGATGAGGAGGTGGAGGAGGAATGGTCCTTCTCGGTTGGGGGGGTCTTATTGGAGGAGGGGGAGGAGGAGGGAGGAGGAGGAGGAAGAGGAGGAGCAGGAGCAGGAGCAGGAGGAGGAGGAGGAGCAGGAGCAGGAGCAGGAGCAGGAGCAGGAGGAGGAGGAGGAGCAGGAGGAGGAGGAGGAGGAGGAGGAGGAGGAGGAGGAGGAGGAGGAGGAGGAATGGTCCGTCTCTCCACCACTCCTCCCGGGCGGAGTGCTAGGTTTCGGCCTCTGGCTTGCTCGTTGGCAAAGAAAAAGCCGCCGCTGCGCAGATCGGACCGCATGCCACCCCCGAGCTGGGACGCCGGCGCCATAGCGCCTGCGGACCGCACGCCCGCGGGGACGTCGATCGCGATGGGTGGCCCGGTGTGTTGACGGATCTGCTCCACTTGTGATTCGGAGATTGATAGACCTCCTACCCCGACACGTCGATGAAGGAATTGGCCGTTTTCGGTTCGCGAGAGGGCGTCGCGGCCGTCATCTTTGCGGGTCCAGGTCCGTCGATTTCGGCCCTACGTAGGTCGTTTTCTTTAAGGGGAGGTTCGCTAAAGGGAGGTTTTTCTCCACCGCCGAATGCTCGCGGTTGCCCCGTTCGGTGTCTCCTGACGGTGCCTGCGATCTAGAGCGGCCAGGTCGCGGGCCCGAGGCGATGATTCACCGCGGCGGCCGTGCGCTGTGTTCCGTTGCCAGCATGTCCACAGGAGCAGCGGAGGAAGCGCGAGGTTGGTTGTGAGGGCGTTCGAGCGTAAGTGACGTTGGCGCGTGAGCGCATTCGCTTCCGATGTAGCGTGCCGCGTTGGCAGCCCGCGCAAGCCACCGCGTAAAGTCGTCGCTCTTTCATCGTGCGTGAGACCCACCCACCTCTTTTTGTCGCCCACATGGCGGCATGATCGTGATGCGATCGGGTGCACTGGTCTTGCAGTGATGGTAAAAACGCTGGGAGCGTTCCCCCCGTTTCAAGATCGATGCTGTTCTCCGATTGGCGGCCAGTATTTGTTCCGTTGGGGGATTCTCGTTCTTGCTGTTGTCGGTTCGGTTCCGCTTTGTGTCGCCGTTTCTTCTCTTATGACTTGCCGTTGTTTGCTGTGATGTGGCCGGCTCAAAACCGAACCGTTGAAAATTGGAGGGGGCAAAACGGTCCCAACGCTTTCCCCCTCCTCTCCCCCTCCCTCTACAATTACGAAATAGAAATACTATTCTCCTCTCCCCTGGTGACGTCCGGGAAGTGGCTGGCGACCCCCTCCGCGTGCTGTTTTTTACAGCTGGATTCCCGGGAAACAGGTTTTCCGCGTGTTTTTTCCAAAATGTTGCTCTCGCTGAGGCGCTGGCTTCATTTTCGGGACACCGCTCGTTCCGAATCGTGCTCCCGCTGCAGCGCTGATCTCATTTTCGCGCTTCCGCTCGTTCCGAATTGTGCTCCCCTCCCGCTGCAGCGCTGGCGTCAGTATTTCCAGCGCCATGCCACGGCATGGTTTTCGGTCCTTCCAAATCGGCTCCCAAATCTATAAAAGTGTTCCGAAAAGAACAATCGGAAGTGATTACACATTCGGTGCCGATTCGTTGATTTCTTGGGTCGCAGAAGCTCACCCCCACTTTGGGGCAACGCCACGCCATGCTAATGATGTCAGGCTCCGCGTCTTCCGAATCGT